CAGAAAATTAAAATGTTAGGATCTTGGAAGCAACTACATGTACAGGGAGTACAGTGATCTTTGAGCAGACGCTTTATACAGTTTATATACAAGGTGCAATAATAGCGACATTTCTGGTCAATTTACACACAGTAATTACAGTAAATTAACATTATGGAGATACTGCCGATGCAAGCAACACCTGTACAGGTGAATAGGCCTACCACCAAAAAACATGTTGAAGTAACAGGCTTGTCATGTTCAGCTACATGTACAGTAGCTTGTCTAAAAGTCAACAAAATAAATTCAAGTCAAATTTATAAATCCATATCATTAAAGCTGAAAATGATTTTGAATAAAGTCAACTTGTCAGATGTGAGACAACCGGATACGGATGAAAACTTTCAGTATTATAAACCAAACGCATACGGATAGAGGAATATTTTCAAATACTCTTAAAGGGCGTTTCATGCAGCATTACATATCAAGAATGATCAAGTTGGCAAATAATTTGCAACAATACCGTGTTAACAGAGACAGAGTTCATTGCCCTGCACATAGTCAACGTGTCATAACTCGTGCATTTACAGATTTGTCCGTCTTCCTGGCCGAGAAAACACTGGGGTTCATTCCAATAATGACATCTACCCGCAGAGTAACAACGTCTTTCCGACTTTGTACAGCAAATCATAGATCAAAACCTAAGACGAATTTTAATTACCAAGTCAGCAAACGATTTGCAACAATATCGTCTGTCCGTCTGCCTGTCTGAGAAGACACAGTGGTTCGTATCAATGAATAGATCTACATGCACAGTGGCAAAGTGTTTCTCTTTTTGATCATCAAATCACAGATGGATACCTAAGACGAATCTTAATTAAAGATACAGGTGCTATAGCATGGATTTTTATAAGACCCACCTCCTCAAATGAGAAAATACACACCATCGTGGTTTTCCAACATTAAAAGGGCGGAGATGGTTAAGTCTTTATTGCTGTCTTTATTACAGGTACCGTACATCATTACCTGTGTACATATGTACCTCTCCATTAACAAGGCCCATTAATGCATACTTTGAACTGCTAAAATCTACTTAATGTCAATTAAATGTCACCTTCTTTCAAAAAAAGTGAGGTTAAAGAGAATTGTGTCTAATACATGTACATGTAGTAGAAGCCTGTGTTTGGTCTGATCGGTACAGTAATTTCGTAGTCAGCGTCCGGATGACAACGCTGAAAGAGGCTACCGCATGAAAGAGTCATTGTTTTTGCGCCCTAGTCCTATATATAGTAATAGTTAATACAATAGAGAACTAGTAGCTACTTATAAGCAGCTGATTGTGTACATCGATGGCCCTGAAGATGTCTGGAGTCGTCTCAATCTTGAGTTTAATCTACCTGTGTTTGGCCATTCGCTCAACACAGTCGTACGGCGGAGAATTCTATGATGGAAAACCGTCTGGGTACGACGACCCGCCGCCGTGCGAGGACCTAGGAATAGGGCGGTTTTGTATCGCGAACTGTTCACTGCCGGGGATATACGTGTGCCCGCGCCGGCACTATTTCATCCCAGACAAGCCTCCCATTTTGTCCGCGTGTCCCAGTGGGTTGCTATGTCAACAACGAGGTGGAGGGCGCGTGAAATGCGCGTATGGCTGGGATTGTCATCCAGGTTAGTAAAACGCATTGGGATCATTTTAAAGTTCAGTTATAAGGAGACAGAATGAGGTACAAGGGTATTCGTTTGCATGAATTTTTATTGCATGTTTTTCTTTCTATCTGTCTCTTTATCTAGCTTTGGACCTTCGTAACGGTGTGTCTGTCCACATGTACGTCTTTCTGTTCGTCTTTCCGTCTGTCTGTCTGTATAGATCTGATTCGTCTCTATCTCTTACCATGTGCTACTTATAGTTCTACAGTACATATACCACCTACCGGTACTACGTTGCTTTGCCCGTCTCTCCAATTTGAGGATGTAATGATTGGTAAATGACGGTCGAGAAAAGTATCATTAAAAGAAGTTCATCACCAGTCAATGTCTCATAGTTAATCTGGGACATTTATCAAGCTGGCTATTAGTCTGATGGATGGAGGTCATTATTGGTGACCTTGGGTCTTGTTGCTGAAGTATTAACGGCATTCTCACACGGCAGTGACAGTGCAAGGTTGGTCAATAAAAGGGGACTGTCTGGGTCTGAGCATGAAGAGGTCTTCATTTTGATTATTTTCTAATTTCTATTCCAAAGGTCATGAGACTACTTTCCAAACGGAGTACCATTTTGTATAAAATCGATTGTTTTGCCCAATTTACGTACGGATTTTGGTTTAGTTTGGCTTGATATTTAGATTGAATCCTCACTTGAAAAAGACGAATGTCTTTAAGACGCGTGACGTAAAAAGATACTTATCGTCTTTTGCGTTCGGCGAGTATTGAACCAGAGGTTTAATTGATAGATGTGCTATCACTGAGAACTTGTAAACGCTCACTTTCAACTAAGGGCTATTTTTTAAAGTACGTTTAAAAGTGCATTATATATGTATGGGCATACAACTAATTTCTAATTCAACTTTCAATACAGTCGACTAAATGTAAATACCTTTTGGGTAGAGGTTAACTTTCCCATAGTAACTGACTCTCCTCTTCTGTGATTAACACTAATGGCTCATTTCCAATGAAACTGTCTTTCTACTTAGATCGATCCTACTCCGCTGGTATTTTTGCTGAATGTAATCAGTTTAACAGATTAACACTCCTACTCTTGTTTGCATCGTACTCGTATTATAACAGGCTTTCTGTATTCTTCTCAATACCAGGAGGAGGTGTGTTAATCTGTTAAACTGATTGCATTCAGTGAGAGTCCCAGTTGAGTTGGATCGATCTACTTAGAACAATAGTTATATTGGAAATGAGCCCAAAGAGGACCTGTTTCAAATGGAGTTATTGGGGTGATTAAAAATCTTATCCCAAAGTGATCTCTATTGGCAACATAGGATAAAGTGATCTGAATGCTCCTATTAATCATTGTAAGTTTTTTAATCGGAGTCACATGCACTGCGTTAACTTCTAAAAAAAAACGACTGCATTTAATCACAATCATTTGATGTGTTGAAGTCTGAAGGGTCGCACCATGTTGCATGTAGACATATCCAAGACGTGACTGTAAAAAACTAATGGTACAATGGCATGCATCTCATTGTTAGAGTAGATACACAGTAAGAGACCAAGCTATACGTACCTGTAAATAGAAGTTGCTTACATATATAACCACGCACAATCTCAACCTAGCGTTTTGGTTGGGCATTATTTAGCACGTTTATCATTTAAACTTCATAAATCTTACAGTGTTAACTGGGACATTTTTAGTGCGTTTAACATTTTCTATTTCATATTTCAGTGACTGATGACCCCAACGTGACCATTAGCACAGGACCCTCTACCACGCCCGGACCAAGTAAGTGACGTCATAACACGTGGTCCCAACAAGACGTTTTGTCAATGCACTAAAGCAAATACTGTTACCAATTAGGTGTTGATCGTGTCCGAATTCACAGTTTTCTATCTTGAATTAATCTAGAAAGTGGGATTACTGGTAATTGCTGAATTGTAAGATGGTATAAATGTATTAGGTGGAAGGATATATTGTTGGTTACATGCAGACGATTCCGTATATTTGGCATCTTGTTTGTACAGTAGGAGTTAGTATCCGAGAGACAAGCGTTCATTTTATAGATCAATATAGATTTAAATAATTTTTCTTTTCATATTTATAAATCTCTATATCACTGTAATACGTCCTGTTCTAGGTGTGGTAACAAACGTGATACCAGGAAACCTCTCCAGAGACGAGGTACCACAGTTTGTCTATTTTTCTTTCGATGATGCCGTCAACCGAATGAATTACAATTTGTACTCCAACCTGTTTGCAGGGCGGTTCGTAAACCCTAACGGTTGTCCCACCACTGTCAGCTTCAATCTCTGCAATGAGAGTACAAAGTAAGTGTCAAAGTCGCTTTTTCGTTCCTCTCTTCAATTAACGACCGCCCCCTCATCATTAGCTTCAGTCTGTGTAAAGAGACTACCGGGTACTTTAGGGTTATTTTAACATCCCCCATACTCTCATTTCAAGGATGGTAAAAAGCTTCATTTTAAATGAGATGGATATTAATAAACACATTCCATTAGGGTCATATAGTAGCAGTGTAGTTGGATCACTGGTCCGAAGGTTCGATAGCCCGAATTAATTCATGAATAAAGTGTATAGTGTACTAATAATAACGCAAAGTTCATCAGATGCGCGTGCATACGATTTTTCCGACCATTAATCTTCGGATTATCGATAATTCCCCCATTCCATTGTCGTAAAAGAGCCAGACAAGGGAAGTTCTACTTAAAAATACATTTGTAAATATTTTAGAGTTAGGCCCCTATGCCAGCACATGAAGCAATTACTTTGGAAAGCTTTGGTGTTGTCTTAAGAGAAATTTAAAGTAAGTTTTCAACGAGTGTACGCCTTGTTTTCTAAAATACAATTTTTTCCTTAACTGTAGCTATGAACTGGTTCGTCGCCTCCATCGGCAAGGACACGAAATAGCCAGCCATAGTATTCTTCACACCAACCCCAAATTCTGGGACGGGGAGATGTGGGAATACGAGATCCAAGGAATGAGAGAACTCATCTCTGACAAAACCGGCATCAAAGAGGATGAAATCGTCGGAATGAGGGCGCCTTTTTTGGTGCTGGGCGGCAACAAGCAATTTTCATTACTTGAGAGGTTTAATTATACGTATGACGCGTCAATGGTACCGGCTTTTTCGTCGAATCAAGAAGAGCCACTTTGGCCGTTCAAACTGACCGGTAAACCTCCCCGAAGGTATTTTTTCGAGCCTGGAACACCAACAGAAGCGTATCCCTCTGTGTGGGAGGTACCCATGAATCCATATTTTTACTGCCCGCATGCGCCAGATGGTGCAGTATCAATGTTGGATGGGTGCCATCCTGGTAGTTACAACGCCACCTATCTTTATTTAAAGTATAATTTCCTCCGTCATTATAATTCTCCAAGCAAGGCACCATTTGGAATCAATATGCACGCGGCCTGGTTTCACCCGGCCTGGCCGTACCACTTTCAAGCGATGGAGGATTTTATAGGAGAAATATGTCGCTTAAGAAATGTGTATATTGTAAGTGTGAGCAGGATTTTAAAATGGATGGAGGACCCCGTCCCTTTGTCAAGAATATCAGAATCTGAGGCAGTTAAGTGTAACTAAATATATTTCACTCTTTAACGCAAACCACGACCTTGGGATGAAAATTCGTATTGACCACAGCTGGTTTTGTTTAAAATAGTTTCCCAGTCATTTTTTTTTTTTTTTTTTGAAAAAACAAAACAAAATAAAAAAACTCTTTAAAGCATCCAGTACGTTTTTATTTCCTCACCCATTAAACCGTTTTACGCAGAAAATGGCATGACAAATGAATAAATAGATATTTAAGAAGAAAGTGAACAGTGTAAAAATTAACAAAGATTATGCGCGAAGAAGGCGCCTAAGCCGAAAATTTGAACGTTTGCATTTATTTGTATTAGTTGAGCTTATGGGGGTGGGTGTATGTGGATGTTACTTAGGTCGCATTCACAACGAGTTGAGCCAGGCTTTACAAATCCTGGGGACTAAATATGGCGGT